CCAGGTTTATGGACCGCATGACTTAAATGACCAATGAAAAGGTCACACGGTCGATAAACCCCCTCCCATTGGACAGAGATGCATAGACTATTTTGCGTCTGTTTTACCTGTCACATTGGGGCAACGCGACTGTATGTCATTAGCCCAGGCTGTGGGGAAAAAAAGGGTGATTTGACACGTTAATTCAGGAATTTATGTAATGTGACCTAGGTTATAAGGGGCAACCTCAGGAGCAATGCCCCAGTTCATACAACAAATTTTTTTTAGCTATTGTTTATTTATGAGCGTTTATAGGGGCAAAATACGCATTTTTTGAGTCTTTTTTATTTTTTGCCTAAAGTAAGTGTTGTAATGGATAATTTCTGTATAGATTATGAAAGTATTCTAAAAGACCTTCAATTTGAGCCGGTATATGTTTAATTTAATTTATTTGTTATTGCAAAAATGACGAATGAAAGTCAATATTAAAAAACGTAATATTTATTGCAAAATTGCTTTTTTATTATTTCAAATATATTACATTCAAGTCTGTAAAATTACGGATCGAATGAGCCGTAGTAGGCCTAGATCGCTTAATTTGTTGCTGAGATACATTAATTAGTTTATCTCACGTCCTTCAACTTTGAATGCTCATAGGATTGACAAAAAAATGGTAGAGGGCTAATTCTTATTTAATTCTCTTCCTAAAGCCGTAAATTTTCATATTCCACTGGAAAATAATAGAAAACATTTTTTTAACCCGTTAAAATCAATTATTTATGAAGTTGTAAAATTGCAGTAACCATACAAATTTCTAATTTGCAGATTATTATAGCTGGCTTCGAGACGAAGATTAAAAAAAAAAGAATTTTTTACGACCAATAGGAGCCGAGTAATCATATTTTTTTTTTTAAATAACAATTAAGAAATGAATCTGGCGACGCTCCGAAAAATTTGCAAGATCTCGGTTAAAAATAAACCGATTTCGATGGTTTTTTTTTAAATCCGGGGTAGTTCGTCGAAATAATAACGTCTAGAATACTTTTACCCTAAGAAAACACAAATAGAAACACAAAAGCATTTTATAAGAAAATTAGCGAGCAGAACAAAACCTTCAAATATTGTTCTGAAGCTATTTTCTTGTGGCATTGTAAATTAGTTACTGTTAAACTGGGAATAAGCCACAATTAAAGATAAAAATACGTTTATTGACGTTTCAATTTCCACTTCGGAAATCGTTCTCAAAATACAAAACCTTTTTTATATTTGATATTAGATTCTGATATCAGAAAAACTTAAAAGGATAGGAAATAAATTCAACATTTCAACAACATTCAAAACAACAAACACGTTGAGATCTATTTTGTCCAAAACCAAACCTAACAATGAACAAGAAAGGACAAAGAATTGCATTTATAAAATACCTTGTGAATGCGATCAGTTTTATTTAGGTGAATCATCAAGGCCATTAAATGTTAGAATAAGTGAACATCAATCTTATATTAAAAATAGAGAATTTGATAGATCTCAAATATGTAAACACGCATGGGATAATGAACATAGAGTTCAATGGAATAATTCAAATATAGTCCTAAAAGAAACGGATGGTAAAAAAAGAAAAATCAAAGAAGCGGCTCTAATTATGCTAAATGAGGCCAATTGTGTCGCAAATTCCTCGGCAGAATGTAGTAGGATCTGGTTACCAATATTGAAAGAGGAAGTTATTAATAAGAAAATACCAGTATTAGTAAGTCAGTAACATATAGAGGATACATCATTTATGTTTTTTAAATAACGTAACATAAAATCAGAATTTTGATGTTTGTTGAAGGTAAACTAAATTCACGAACAAATACTTACAATGTCGGGATAGTATTATGAGGTTTTTTTCCTGGTTTTTCCCTCATAATTTACTATGGAATCACTAACAGGAGAATTTTACTGTCATCATGTCATGTGTTTGTCTTTTTAAAGACGAATTACATGCTATGATTTTTTCTGACGGATATTCTCAAGTTAAAGTTGATTTCATGTAATCGAATGAACTATCTTATAAGTAAAGTCGTCCCAGGAGCGCAACTCAACAATATTGGCAATATCATTTTAAAGTCGTCTACTTTAAAATGCATAATGTATGTCTGAATTGTCAATATAAATGAGTCAGATAAAATTAAATTATCAGAAGAATTTTTTCACTATGTAACAAAAAACAAAATTTGTTTAATTTACTATTTGTATTTTGAGAACGATTTCCGAATTGGAAATTGAAACGTCAATAAATGTATTTTTATCTTTAATGTGGCTTATTCCCAGTTATAAATAGTAATTAATTTACAATGCCACAAGAAAATAGCTTCAGAACAATACTTTGATCTCATGTTGAAGGGTTCGGACTTCTTCGGTTTCATTTGAGCCAGCATAAGGTGCAAGACGATTTATGTGAACTACTTATGGTTTACCTTTTCTTCTAGACGTTCATCGTTTGGTTCGTCGCCTTCTTCAATGGTTCTTACTCGATGGCTCCGTGAAGTTTGACTAGCTGTTTCATGTTCCAAAGCAATAGCGAGCGCTTCATCTAGAACTTTCGGTCTTGCTAGTCGTAAAGCTTTCTGTAATTCGCTTTCTTTTAACCCATCGACAAAGGTATCTACAGAAATTTCTTCCAAAATGTTGTCTGGTACCTCCGGATAAGCCAACCGCACTATACGAGCAACATCTGCTTCAAACTCTTGCAAATTTTCACTTGCTCGTTGAACTCTACTTCTTAGTTGCGCCTTGTAGACTTGTTGTAGATGGGCATCTCCGTAACGTTTATCTAGTCGAGTGAACAAGGTCTGGTAACATTTTTCTTGACCCTTAGGAATCGATCTTAGGATATCCGCAGCATCACCTCGTAAAGCAGCAGTCAAGGAAACAGCCTTTTCTTGTTCTGTCCAATGATTGGCTGTCGCAATAGCTTCAAATTGTCTAAGGTATATGGACCAAGAGGACTTTCCATTAAATGGTGGCAATTTGAATCTCATATGATGTGTCATATCGTCTCTAGGTGATTCTTCTTTTACAACCGGATCTAAAGCTACCGTGACTTCTTCAAATTTCTCATTATTCTGTTTTGAAGTTTCTTCCATCATTTGAGAAACATTTTTAAATTTCTTGTCGAATCTTCTAGACACATTTTCGAGTTTCTCGTCATTTTGTCTAGCTACTTCTTTAATAATTTGAGACGTTTCATTGAATCTTTCATCATTTTTTTTTGAAGATTCTTCAATCATTTGAGACGTTTCATCGAATCTTTTGGAAACAATCTCGAATTTTCCATTAATTATTTTAGTTAAAACGGCTTCATCTGCTGACTAGAACTGGAAGGTCTCTGGTCGTCTCCATTCTTGTTGAGAACAGTCTTCAGTCGTTCTTGGAGTATCTTCTTGGACCCGCTGCAGTCTTTATCACGTTCTTCTAGTTGCTCACGCAACTGCTTCACTGAAAGTTCTACTAGCAGCATTTTTGATCAGGCACACACGTACTTTTATTTTAAATGTTCTTTCGTACAAAGATAACTACCGAAATACGCGGATGTTCCCGACGAACAATACTTCTCAAAAGTTCAAAAGTCTTTTTTTTAAAGTCACTGCTGCATTTATTTTCAAACACCACACCTGACACCAACTGTAGCGAGATTAAATAAAACGAGCGGTTCGAATTTATATAAATATATTTATTTATAACTTTACAGTTCGGTATTCTCTTATCAACTGAACTTACTCCTAAGATCGTTACATATATATACCAAAGTTACTATTTGCTAGAAAGTTCCCACCTCTAGGCGTACGTGACTGAAACATCGAGTCGCTTTCGAGATGCGGCCGCTATACGGGGACACGCTGAATGCGTGTTCGTAACAATATTAATAAAATTGGAGGTTAATTCACTTTTGCCCACGGTGATATAGACAACATCCGCATTTGGCTATAAAGATGTGGGAGTGGATGTTTTGCCCAATGGAAAATTCAAACTTTGACTATTAGAAGTATTCAGTAATGTTAATATGTGCTGTAAATGTTTGTATATGTGCAGAGTGTTCTTGTTTAGTGAACGTGTATTGTGTGTCGTGTCATGTATTGTGCATGCCAGAGAAAATTATATGTATACATAATAAAACAGTCTCAGAGTCTTTTTGATAGATTTTTCTGTTTTAAAATGAAAAAGACAGTAAAGATTAGATTTCACGTACAAAGCGTCTATGTATCTGTTTATACGCATTTCGGCCTAATAGGCCTCATCAGAACAGCTATTCATAGGCGTTCTTAACGTGAAAAATAAATCTGTTGTGAGAAGCAACATTAAAATGGCTTCGATATGGACGCAATAGTGACATCTGATAATAAATCCGTAAAATAGTTTTCGAAACCAATTCAGATTTCTGCTTTAATCTGAACCTTCTAAAAATTGCAAGGTAAACAGACGTTGATAAAGATGTTAAAATATCTCGTCCATATCGAAGCTATTTTAATGTTGCTTCTTAAAGACAGAAAAGATTTATTTTTCACGTTGAGAACGCCTATGAATAGCTGTTCTGATGAGGCCTATTAGGCCGAAATGTGTATAAACAGATACATAGACGCTTTGTACGTGAAATCTAATCTTTACTGTCTTTTTCATTTTATTCGGATCGAAAACTATTTTACGGATTTTCTGTTTTAATTTGGGTATTTAGTAAGCATTAATAATAATAACTTAATATGATTTAACACTGTAGACATGATTTTTATTGACTAGCTCAGACTTGTTTGCATAGTATCTTCCCAAAAAATTTATATCTCTTTAAAAAAGTATCTTAGAATTTGGTTGAGCACTGTATTATATTTAGATTCTAAATCAATGAAAAATACATTAAACTCTAAATCAAGCGCATGCAGTCGAATTTAGTTTACTATTTTTATTATCACTTGAATAATGTAATCCGTCGTTAACAGCTCATCATATAAGTTTTATGGAAGTATCGAACAAGAAATAACAATTACCTGATTGGTTTAAACGTTTTAAGTTTCGAAAATTTATTTTCCATTAACTTAATTGCCACTTTTCTTTTAAAACTACTTCCTGTTGTTCCATCAATCGATATTCCTCAATCATGAAATCTCCGCCGATAGTAAGTGCTCATCAAATCAAGTACTCCATCAATTTGATGATTAAATAGTTAACGAAATATTGAAAAGTTAAAGTAGATCGCCCAAAAAATATTTATGCTCTTAAACTTCGTCACAATAGTTGGTGATTCTACAGAATCACCAACAAGTGGTGATTATACAGAAAACAAATTTTGTTTAATTTAATGTTTGTATTTTGAGAACGATTTCCGAATTGGAAATTGAAACGTCAATAAACGTATTTTTATCTTTAATTGTGGCTTATTCCCAGTTATAAATAATAATTAACTGGAACTCTTGCAGCGTTGTCAGAATACATTAAATACACAATTTAGATAGGTGCAGCATTGACATTATGAAAATCAAAGGAAATATTAAACAATTGGTATCTCATTCGTCTTATATCTGGGTTTGTAAATTTTTATTATGCTACATAATTCTGCCTTTATAATTTTTTCTTTAATATTCCGCTGCCTTAACTCTTTGTTTTCTTGTGGTTTTCTTGTCGTTTTCTTGTCGTTATTCAGTTAGTAGTTGGTAATAACACGTGTTTTGAACCGGTATACTGGTATAAGCAATTGTGGTGGTTTTTGGATTATGTCGCTTTATTTTTTATTTACAATATTAGAAACATTTGTATTTATGATTAATACTTCCTATTACTAAAAGTTTTTACTTTACAATAAGTATATTGAAGATATAAAATGCCGGTTTCATCCTGAAACCACTAGAAAACTAGATAAATTATGTACTTATTTTTTTTTATTTCAGGAAAAAAAAGTATATCCATTCAGAGAGCTAAATAATATAATATTTACATTATTAGATAACATTCCTTTAGATGGCGAGTCACATGAATCGAGTAGTGACGAAGAGGATTTGCTTGACATTGCGAATATACCAATAATACTTGAAAATGACCAGCTAGACCAAAATTCAAGAGACGACAATTCACAGAATATTCCTGATGAAGCCTTCCCAGACGACGAGGACAATATTCCCCCTTCTATTTTTAGGGATAAAAAATTAGCTGAAAGAACAACCTGGACTAACTAAGCGGCATCTTTCGTTAGTAACATCAAGCAGTTCACTGAGGAAACCGGTCCTAAAATTCCGGATGATATGGAGAAGCCAGTAGATTTTATTTTGTACATTTGTTCCCCGAAACTTTAATAACAAAATTGTATTCGAAACAAACCTCTACGCTCTTTAGAAAGGTGGTGGACACTCTTCATTTATACCAACTTCTGCTGAAGAAATTCAAATTTTCATTGAAATCAATATATTGATGGGAATCAAAAAGTTTCCCAGTTATGGTGATTACTGGTCATCTAGAGATGAACTACGAGATCACTACATAAGTTCAGCTATGTCTTGAGATCGGTTTGCTTGACATCTAGGAAATGTGCATTTAGCAGATAATTCGGTGATGCCTTCTCGCGACTCTCTAAATTATGACAGGTTGTATAAAGTTCGCCTTATATTGGATACTTTATCAGAAACGTTTCGTTTTTTATATGGCTCTTCAAAACATCAATTCATAGACAAATCTGATTCGTGTCAAGGGTCGTAGTTGTCTAAAGCAATTTATTCCTCTAAAACCCATCAAGAGCGGTTATAGAGTTTGGGTTCGATCTTACGAGAATAGATATGTCGACTAATTTCAAATATATGTTGGAAAAACTAACGATCAACCTAAAAAAGATTTGGGCCACAGAATTATCTTAGATTTAATTCGAAATTTGGTGGCAAAAGGATATCACGTTTTCTTTGATAACTTTTTTAACTCTGTGCGCATATAAAAAAAAACGTTAATCAGAATCTATTTATGCATGCGGCATTGTCAGGACTAACCCAAAATATATCCCAAAAAACTTAGCATCTGACAAAGAATTACACATCCGAGGACAATCGGACTGGAGGATCAGCACAGATGGACTGGTGTTTGTAAAGTGCAGAGACTGGAAAGTAGTGCATTTTTTGGAAAATCATCAAAACCCTTCAGAAGAAGCAACTGTTTCCTGTAAGCAAAAAGACGGAAATTTACAAGTCGTAACCTGTTTAATGATGATCAAAGAATATAACCAGCATATGAGTCACGTTGTCAAAACAGATATGCTGAAATCTGTGTATGAGATTGACCGCAAATCAAAGAAATGGTGGCACCGAATTTTGTGACATTTTATAGATATATGAGTTGTGAATTCTTTTATTCTTTTATCTGCTTTTTGTAGCACTAGTAAGGATCCTCACAGAACCAGGTGTGCGACGTGTAGTAACCTACGTTTTATACTATTATATTATTTAGTTATTAGATTTTTATTTGCTTAAGAAAAATCTTTAATTTCTTACAGGTATCATATCAAAAGCCTAGCCTATTGAATAAAAATACATAAGAAAATATTATTTTCCACTTTTTTGTCTTTTAGAAAACCAATAAAGTAAGATTATTTAATTTTTACCTTAATTTTTAATTTTAAAAGTTCTTAGAAAACAAAGGGTTAACCACGCCTTTATTTATCATTTTCTGCACCCTAAAGTGAGTAATTTTCAAACTTAAACATTGTGAAATCCCTCAGCTCTCATCAATTTTTACAAAGTTTTATGTGGCCCTGTATGTGCAAGAGACAGGAACTCTTTTTTCTGTGACTTGAAAATTTATTATTATACGACGAAGTAAACTTCTCTCGAAATCGTCCAAGTTGGATGTTGGGACTGGTTTAATTCTTTTATTGTTAGGCGTCGAAAACGATGTAGAAGCACCTTCTTTATATTTTTCACTTTACGAGAGATCCGTTTTATAATAGTTAAACTTATTTCCATATATTACCAGTCTGATTTTATATCGTTTCTCGCTGCATAAAAATAATTACATTTGTTATTACCTCTCTTGTTCGTCCAGACGAGACTTTGCCTTCTAATCTTGATCTAAATTATGTTAATAATTGAAAAAATCAATTACAATAACAACTCTTTAGTAATAAATGTGTAATGTTATAAACGTCACATATTTATTAATTTATATTTAAATAATTATTTTATTTTAATTTCTTTATTAATATAATAATTTCTTAACCTTCTGTTTTATTTTTACTATTTTTTCTTTAAAACATAGTTGGCGCCTTCTTTCTCTTTTTTTGTCCGGTGGAATAAATATTCGCCCCCTCTCTTTCTGTCCGGTAGAATAAATATTTGCCCCCTCTCTTTCTGTCCGGTAATAAGTATTATGTTCTATGTTGACAGAAGAGCTAATTCTATCATAGATATATGTCCTATATATGTTCTATGGCTTCTAATTACTATTAAAATGGGAATAAGCCACAATTAAAGGTAAAAATAAGTTTATTGCCGTTCCACTTCGGAAATCGTTGTCAAAATACAAACATTAGTAAATTAAACAAATTTTGTTTTTTGTTACTTAGTGAAAAATTCTTCTAATAATTTAATTTTATCTGACTCATTTATATTGAAAATTCAGACATACATTATAGATATACATGATATTAAATCTACTTTAACTTGAAAATATCAATATCATTTTAAAGTCGTCCACTTTAAAATGTATAATGTATGTCTGAATTGTCAATACAAATGAGTCAGATAAAATAAAATTGTTAGAAGAATTTTTCACTAAGTAACAAAAAAAAAACAAAATTTGTTTAATTTACTAATGTAGTCTTATTTGAATTTCGCGCCATTGACAGATCTGATTGTCACTCAATTTGAAAAAAAAGAAGATAACCACACACTTTATGTTTAGACTGGACACTTGTGATTATGAATTATGGCCATCTGAATGTTATGAAAACTATTATGTCGAATTATGTACAATTAGTGTTTCTTTCCGCTAAATAAACTTAAGAAAACTAGAACAATATTATTTATTAACGGAGCCTACAGAATCAGAAGTGGGATTACGTGGATCGCCGATATTTTTGCAGATTTAAAAATTGTGTTTAGTATTGACGATAGCCATGCCGGGATCAGACACCGAAATTGAAAATACAAGTGGAAACACCGTCGCTCAGGCGAGTATAGCTGAAATTGTTCATACAGCGGTACAGGCAATCCTCGATTATGAAGAGAAAAAGAAAATTGCCGGTCCAGAAAATCAGATGCCGACACATAACCCCATAAAAATTACTAACAGTGAATTATCAAATTTAATGCCGGAATTTTCAGGCACAGACAAAAGCCAGAATGTTGCAATATGGTTAGAAAGAATAGAAAAAATCAAAACTGTGTATAATGTTCCAACTGATATTTTACAACTGTTAGTCATTGGAAAATTGACCGGAAAAGCGAAGGAATGGTACCTCAGCAAACCAAATTTAATTTCCACAGATTGGACAGGTTTAAAAAATGAAATTAGGAGAATGTATGGGAGAACTTATGATCCAGTGTCGTCGAGAAGAAAGATGGAGACTAGAAGGTGGAAAAAGAGTGAAAGCTTTTCAGCATATTTCCATGACAAACTGTTACTGGGCAACGAAGCAGGAGTTGAGGATGAAGATATGATACATTATCTGATTGATGGGTTTGATGATCGCCTACTTCAAAATCAAGCCAAAATGATGTTATCCACACTCAATAGCACTGAAGATTTATATAAGTTAATGGGGAGTGTTGTTAAAGATGAGGTATCAGGAAGTGGACAAAGGTTTGCTACAGCATCAAGTTATAGGGTAAGTTCTAGCCAGAACCAACCTCATACAGCAACACAGGGTCGGATGCCAGTTCCTGTAAAATGCTTTAATTGTGGTCGTACCGGACACAAAGTGACAGAGTGCAGACAAGCCAAGCGTGATAGGGGATCATGTTTTAGATGTGGAAGCAAAGATCATATGGTAAGAGACTGTCCTAATAGAAACCAGCAAGTGGTGCAACAAGTTGCAGATTCAACTACCCGAGATAGTAA